TTAATAGTCTTCCCACATAATCCTTTCCTATCTTACCATTATTTAATAAGTTTTGAATTCATACTATTAGATTATAAGCCATTAGGCAAAACTTCGTACAGCAGATGTCTATCTGACAGTGCTGTAGCTAAATTTAAGGAGGAGATTCCTTCAGTGTTTGATTCAATGCCATGTCTGAATTTAGTCCTATAACGACTTTAGTCCCTCTGAAATTGATAATCTTGTTGATAGTGCTACAGGCTCACCACAATCAACATTAGACTCTATCGCTCCTATAAAAAGGAAATTATTAAAACATAGGAGACTAGCACCGTGGTACAACCACCAAACCCGCCAGTTAAAACAAATAGCTAGGAAATCTGAAAGAAAATGGCGCTCTTCCAAATTATCAGAATATCGCTCAAATTGGCAAGATAATCTTAAAATTTATAGAAAGGCTCTCTGTAATGCCAGAGGAGCCTTTTACTCAGCACTAATAGAAGAAAATAAGAATAACCCTAGGTTCCTCTTCAGCACTGTAGCCAGGCTGACAGAGAGTCACAGCTCTATTGAGCCACATATCTCCATAAACTTAAGTAGCAATGACTTCATGAGCTTCTTCTATAATAAAATTATTACTATTAGAGAAAAAATTAATCACCAACTGCCATCAATAGTTATCAGTGGCTCTCAAAGGTTCAGGGACTTCTGCCAATGTAAACTTAGATATATATTTAGACTGTTTTTCTGCTATCGATCTTCATCAGTTAACTTCAATCATTTCTTCATCGAAGCCATCAACCTGTCTATTTGACCCGATCCCAACTAGGCTGCTTAAAGAAGTTGTTCCCTTAATTGGCACTTCTTTACTGGATATGATTAATCTTTCTTTAATACCAGGATATGTACCACAGTCCTTTAAAGTAGCTGTAATTAAACCCCTTCTTAAAAATTTCACTCTTGACCCAGGGGTTTTAGCCAACTATAGACCGATTTCTAACCTCCCCTTCCTCTCTAAGATTCTGGAGAAAGTAGTCGCCAAAGAGTTGTGTGACTTTCTACATAACAATAGTTTATTTGAGGATTTTCAGTCAGGATTTAGAGTTCATCATAGCACAGAGACAGCTCTGGTTAAAGTTAATAATGACCTTCTGACTGCTTCAGACAATGGACTTGTCTCTGTACTTGTATTATTAGATCTTAGTGCTGCATTTGACACCATTGACCATAATATTCTTTTACAGAGACTTGAGCATCAAATTAGCATTAAAGGAACCGCACTAAGCTGGTTTAAGTCATATTTATCAGATCGCTCGCAGTTTGTACATGTTAACGTTGAATCTTCAATAAATACTACAGTTAGTCATGGAGTTCCACAAGGTTCTGTACTTGGACCAATACTATTTACTTTATATATGCTCCCTTTAGGCAACATTATTAGGAATCACTCCATTAACTTTCACTGTTATGCAGATGATACGCAGTTATATCTATCAATCAAGCCCAATGAAATTAATCAATTGTCTAAATTACAAACATGTCTTAAGGACATAAAATCCTGGATGACCTGCAATTTTCTGATGTTAAACTCAGAAAAAAACGAAATTCTTGTTCTTGGCCCCAAAAACCTTAGAGACTAAATGTCTAAAGATATAGTTACTCTAGATGGCATTAACTTGGCCTCTAGCACCACTGTCAGGAATCTTGGAGTTATCTTTGATCAGGATTTGTCATTTAACTCCCACATAAAGCAGACCTCTAGGACTGCCTTCTTTCATTTACGTAATATTAGAAAAGTTAGACACATACTATCACAGACAGATGCAGAAAAACTAATCCATGCATTTGTTACTTCAAGGCTGGATTACTGCAACTCTTTATTATCAGGTTGCCCCAATAAGTCCATTAAAACGCTCCAATTAATTCAGAACGCTGCAGCACGAGTACTGACAGGAACTAGAAAAAGAGATCACATCTCTCCTGTACTAGCTTCTCTGCATTGGCTCCCTGTAAAATGTAGAATAGAATTTAAAATCCTCCTCCTCACCTATAAAGCTCTTCATGGTCAGGCCCCTTCATATCTTAGAAAACACTACGTTCTCTGAATGCTGGGCTACTTGTGGTTCCTATAGTCTCTAAAAGTAGAACAGGAGCCAGAGCCTTCAGTTACCAAGCTCCTCTCTTGTGGAACCAGCTTCCAGTTGTGGTTCGGGAGGCAGACACCCTCACCACATTCAAGAGTAGGCTTAAGACATTCCTCTTTGATAAAGCTTATAGTTAGGGCTGGATCAGGTGAGTCCTGAACCATCCCTTAGTTATGTTGCTATAGGCCTAGACTATCAGGGGATTTCCCATGGTGCACTGAGCTCCTCCCTTCCTCTCTCTTTCTGCACTCATTCATGTCCCATTAATGCATGTTACTAACTTCACTTCTTCCCCGGAGTTCTTGTGCTTTCTCGTCTTGCAGGTTCTTGTCGATCCTGGTGGAGCCTCCTGCCATGGTCCTGCTAGATTGCCATTACCAATACTGTTGTTGCTGTGCACCTGTCTGTCTGTCTCTCTCTCTCTCTCTCTCTCTCTCTCTCTCTCTCTCTCTCTCTCTCTCTCTCTCTTTCACCCCAACTGGTCGAGACAGACGACCACCCACCTAGAGCCGGAGGATCTGTCCTAGGTTGCCTTTTAACAGGCAGTTTTTCCTTGCCCTTGTCACCAAGGTCTTGCTCATGGTGGTACTGTTGGGTCTCTGTAATTAATGTTTTAAAGAGTTCAGTCTAGACCTGCTCTATTTGAAAAGTGTCCTGAGATAACTTCTGTTATGAATTGGCGCTATACAAATAAAATTGAATTTAATTAAATTGAATTGAATTGTCGTTCAAAGTAAATACCAAACAAAACAGAGCAAGCCCGCCCCTCCCCCCCATGTTTCCGTAACTGTAACATCTTTCTGTAACTGCACGCGCACTAACCCCCACCCCCTCCCCCTCTCCCAACCATCTTGTCGGTGATTGGCTGGAACGTGGTTTGTTGTATTTTGGTGCACAGCCTGCGCCCCTAGTGTTTGTTTGACATTTACGAGCCCCGGGTTTTTTCACAGTGTATTCAGGGGGCAGGCAGCTAGCGGATCAAGGAGAGATGCCTACGATTTGAGACAAAAATGAAATTGCGCTGAAACCATGCAAGATCGCATAGTGCACCTTTAATGTTACACACTTTTAAAAGTAATGACTTTCCATAAAAAAGCTTTCAATACCTAACAACGCTCCTCCCTTTTGTTTTGTTGTTGTTCCTCTAAAGCAGTAAACTGTGTTTTCCATTACAGGCAGCTATAAATACATCTAACAATATGGAAAATACTACCCATTGTTGTATAGTTCAAAATACTGACTTCTTTGGAAGTTACTGAACACAGGTCAAAAGTAATACATTTTATCAAACATCTGCAGAAAGACACCCATGCAGGTGGTTTGCCTGTTGCCTCTTTCATATGCAACTCCTCACTATCTGTTCATCAGGTGAGGATTTTAATGTTACTTTCACTGTTTTAGATGGACAGTTGACTGTGTGGCAAGTACTGGTAAAAATAGCAATTACCTCTTACTATTCTCATCTACAGACATTTTTATCCATGATGTCAACATATTTGAAATGTTTTTTTTTTTACTAGTCTAACTTTTTAACAGTTAGAAATAACTTTGTCCTCAACCCATGCCACTATTACTGGTGTGTCCATTATTACTGGCTCATGTGAATGTGTAAGCAGGGCAAGATAAGTTGATTGGTCCTAGATATGTGAACACAAAGAAAGTGAACGCAACTTCTTCACGCGTAGTTTAAACAGTAATAGCAGTCTGTGCGTTATATTCCGATGGTAGAATTTAAAATTCTTTGACACTTGAAGGGGACGAGTGCAAAGTGTTACACTTTCTTGGCCTTAGTGGGGATGTAGTCTCAAGTCGAAAAAACTCTTTAAGGAGACCTGTGCAGTACTCAAAACAATTCTTCTTTTATATGCTTCAGGTATGAATCTTTTCTTGTTGTTGAATGTGAGATAAAGAAGTAAAACATTTTTACACATCACAATGTGTTAAAAAAGTAAATAAAGAAATGCAATGGGCCAAACGGTGATCCCTGGGGACACCTGATTTAATACTTGAGGTGGTTTTATTACAAGTGACACTTTGTGCTCTGTCTGCCAGATATTCATGTAACCCTCAAGACATTCATTAAAGTGGAAATATCCAAAGCATTCATTTATAGATCAGTCTACATCGCTTTAGCTGAAATTTTCACATTTGAGAGACCTACTTCAGCTACCACAAAATCCATTTAAATGAATAAGAAGCAGCCATATTTGCACACTGTGGAATAAGAAATGAGAATAGTATTTTGTTCCCGCAAAAAAATAAAAATAAAAGTTAGGAGCAAATGCCTTATACATCAGGGGAATAATAGCTGTCACAGCAACAGCTTTCAAGTGACGTCAACCATATGTTCCGCTGGCTTTTCAGCTCCACTTCAATTCGTCATAGCAGCACGCAAAGTTCCTGTCTGGGCTCAATGGAATTGTGCCTTCACATGCAACACATTAAAAGTGTGACATTCTCTCAAAGTCAGAGCAATATTTATATTATTAATGATACTGTGCTGGAATGATGCATTTAATTACAGATGTGCACATTGTTCTCATTTAGGGGGCCAAGTATGAACACATGAAGAAGTGCAGGGTGGTTGGTCATCCAAAGAGCCTCAATGCCAAGCTGAACCAAACAGTACAGCCTGGGAGGACCATCAAAGTCTCTTGCGGATGTGCAAACAAATGGCATGAAAACAGAGACTTAATTTTATTTCGAGCTTGCCTTAAAAAGAAGAAAAAGATGGTGTGGTTGTAGACTTGTAGACATAATGAAACATGAGAAACAAGTCCTCAACTGGAAAGAGGAATTGATCCTGATCCTCGCCTGCAAAACACGACACAGGAACGGAACAAACTTAAAACTGTTGTGTAACTTCAGTACATTACATTATATATAGCCCTTCCTATTCTTTTCTTTTGCTTGAATCCACCAAAAACCATCCTCAACTATGCTGCCATTGGTTAACGAAATATGCCTGTGCTTTTGTTTTTTTGGTTGTTACATAACCTTCCCACATTTCCTTCTGCATAAAAAGCAGTGTGGCAGAGAGAAGTTTAACTTTAGGAGCGCAGATGATGTGCACTTTGGAAAAGGATAAGCCTTGTTGTTGAAACTTTTTTTTTTGACAGGTGAGTTCATCTTTCTGTTCTCTACCTACCCAATTTGTTCCATGCCAGTACGTCGACACACACCCGGCCAACAAATCCTGAACACAAAATGTCTTTTCACATGTTTTCAGCCACTGTTTTCTAACTCTTTTAATGTGGTAATGCTGTTAAATTTAACACATTAACAATAGATTAATTTAAAAAATAACATGTTAAGAAATGGAAAGAAGACTGTAAATGGAAGATTTGGATTTATTGATTTCTAATACTACCTTTAGATATTTCTAGTCAGTGCTTTATAATGTTACTAATGTGCTGTAATAAAAGAATGTTTTTGAGTTCAAAAATATTCAATTAGGGGCTTTTCAAAGAAAATATTGATATGTGATTGTGATTAAATCAGCACTTTTCTGCCACCACTTAACGTCTCCATGATCCCTTCTTGCCACCCCATAAATATTTCTCCTTTGACTCATGTGAAGAATGTGTTAAACAACAATGTGCAGCACTGGAGTGACATTACGAGTGCACCACCAGCACACTGGTTCCGTCTATGTGAGTGTTTTCATCAGCTGACAAATGAGCTCACCTAGATCACAGCTGCCCGTGATTGATTTATTAGCTACAGCTGTTTGTGTGTAGTGGAGGACAAAGCTGATGTGGGTCAGGTTCTAGGACAACACTGTTGAAAATATTACTATTTGGAGGCAAGAATAATCATTCTCTGAATACACATCCTCCTCCTTCTTCCATTTCCTCCAGACAAGATGAAGAAGTTGATCCTTGACGTGGACACAGGGGTGGATGACGCTCAGGCCATCATGATGGCCCTTGCAGCCCCCAATGTGGAGATCCTGGGGATCACCTGCTGCCATGGCAACACAGTACTAGACAATGCCTGCAAGAACACACTCCGTGTCCTGAAAACCTGCAACAGGCTGGATGTAAGATTTTGCCATATGAAAACTTGCATGTGAAACAGCATGACATGAAAGCTATAATACTCCACAGATCCCAGTGTACCGTGGCTGTGCAGAACCTCTGCTGGCTCGAAAACTCCACGCTGGAGATTTCCACGGGAAGGATGGGCTGGGCGACGTCCCGGATCCAAGCGCTCCGGGCCTGGAGCTGCTGCAGGATCAAAAAGCTGTGCAGGCCATGATCCAGATTGTGAAAGAGAACCCTGGAGAGGTGGGTAGAGGGTGAACCTCAACCACCACCAATCTAGCACATAACAAATTATGATGAAGTTGGTCTGATAATTAGCCTTTGAAAATCATGCACCCACAGCAGATGGTACATGATTGCTGAAGTTTAAAGGCTTTTTTTGTCTCACTTGCTGTGTGTGCAGGTGAGTCTGGTTGCCACGGCGCCCCTCACTAACCTGGCTGTTGCAGCACAACTGGACCCTTCCTTCCCTAGGAAGCTGAAGGCGCTCTACATCATGGGAGGAAACACTGAATGTAGGTCATCTGTGTGTTTTTATTTGTGTTAACATCAACTCAATCAAAAGTGTTAAACTCAGTGTCGTCACATTGTTTCACACAGCCAGGGGTAACACCACAGTGTGTGGGGAGTTTAACTTTGTGGCGGACCCTGAGGCTGCCTACATTGTGTTGGACCGCTACACCTGTCCCACCTACATCGCCACCTGGGAGTTCAGCTGCAGGAACAGCCTGCCGTGGGTCTGTCATTACTTTCTTATGAAAATTAAAGTTGCAACAATGAACACAACTGCCAATGAAGTCATGACCAGAAACACTGAACGTGAAATTATGTGTAGGGTAAGGAAGCCTTGTGATGCAATTGAGGGAAAAAATAGTCTGGTAATCCATTTTCTAAGTCGGCTCTAAATTGTGTTCTCTCCTGTGTCCTCCGTCCCTCCAGAAAGTTGCGATTAATGCAGGTTCAGCCTTTGAATTATGCTCGACCTGGAAAAAATGTACCCTAAACAAATAGCTTCTGTGTTTGCAATTAGTGTATAACATTAATGTCATGTCTGTCGTTTGGCAAGAAATCTTAGTATTTTAATCTGTATTTCTAAGAGAAATTAAAACTCACCTGGAAAAAAAGAGCGGGGTAGTGGTGCACTTCAGCCTCTTGTGGCCAAAATGAGTATTACAACAATAGGTGAAAATCATCTTGACAGAAAAAATAAGAAATTCATCAGCCAAAACTTTAAAAACTTCCATAGAAAAATTATCCTGGCAAAGTCCTTTTTTCACCTGTTCCAAAGTCATAAACACACAGAAGAGTAAACAATTCAGATCAGTGTTTGAAAATGGATCAACAGATTTAGTTTTCTTCTCAGGGCTTCCGTAATAGAGCCAACAATAACAGACATCTTTGTCTTTTGTCTTTTCCTCCATCAGTCTTTCTGTGACACCTGGCTGGCCCAAGACACTGACAAGGCTCGTTTCATGGAGAGGATTTCCCACCACACCAGGAAGGTACGACAGTGTTTTAGTTCAACACGCTGAACAAGAATTCAAAACAAATGTCGCAGGTCTCTTCGATTGTTGTCCCTGCAGATGGTCCAGACCGAGCGGTACCAGAAGGAGCTGGTGGCAGGACCTGGGTTCAACTCCTGTGACACCTACGCTGTGGCTGCAGCCATCGATGACGCGCTTGTGACGGAGAGTGAACAGGTTAAAATGCTGCTTTCAACCATTTAATATGTTCATTAAGTGTAACTAAGTGATTAAAAGACACTGGCTTCCTACTAAAGCATCTGCAGAAAAGACACAAACAAGAGGTTTTAGTATCAGACTTCTCCTCTTCCTCCTTCAGGTTGCAGTGATTGTGGAGTTGGAGGGGACTCACACCCGAGGCATGATGGTCTTGGACTACATGGGCCTGCTCAACAAGACACATAAGGCCTCCATCATGAAGAAAGTGGACTTGGAGAGGTTCAAACAAATGTTAATGGATACACTGAAATAACAGGATGTCTTTACAGGTCGCACCGCTCCTTTAGAATAACATACAATAATAGTTTTCAGGCAGATGGATTTGAGGAATGGTACAAGTGTATTTTTTTTTAGCTTCATGCTGCTCTGACTTAAAATATACTACCTCACCAGAATGTGCCAATACAAATCTATTCTACAGCATTATAGGCAAATATCAGTGGGAGCATTAGTATATATTTCCCCTACATGTCTTGGACTAGCACTATGACAAGTAGATGCATTTAAATGCTTTTCAGTGTCTGTGTATGAGTTTAACCTGATGATTCTGTAACCCATAATGCACTCTGGGCTGTGGGTAATAAACAGACTGAGTTTAATCATGAATAAGGGAATAAAAATGTCTCTGATCAATGTGTCTGTGGTGTTCACAACTGTTATCGAGGTTGTATTAGGAACCAGGCAAGGTGAGCAACAACAATGTAATTGAGTTGTGAGAACTTAAAATGTGTTATTTAATGATTGTTATATTTTGGTTTCTGTTCACAACTTTAATTAAATTAAACTTAAACTATACCACACATTTCATATTAAAACTTAAGTTTAATTTCTCTTCTTGCCTCCTACCTGTACCTGTTGCTATTGTATTAATTCCCTGGTTCTTACTATGTTAACTGTCCCAGCATATTGTTTCCATTTTCCCAATAGCCAAATTACATAGTTCATTCTAAGGCATGTCCTAGGAACTTATAACACAGTAACATTTAACATAATTTTTATATCACATTCAATGCTAATGGCTAACAAAAACAGTTATTTATTACCTTGTAATTTAGTTTAGATATTAAGATCTTGAGAATCTTTGCACACTGTTAAAACATTTGTCAGAAAAGCAACAGGAAAGGATCTGTTGTTTTCCTCCAGGTCATAAAACCGAGGCAACTTAAGTTAATAAAACCTTTATTGAAAGTGCTTTGGAATGTACACTTTTAGAAAAAAAAGAAAAGGAAAATTAAGTTTGCATCCCATGTTCCTCCACTTTCCTTTTTTCTCTTCAATAATCAGGATTCGATTCGATTTTTTTCAGTCTTTTTATAAGAAAACTCAAAGAAACAAAGCAAATTCTTCCTCTTCAGAAACAATCATCTGTGTATATATTACAACCTGCCAGAGCACTATTTACAAATCATACAAAAAGAACAACCGTAAAAGCTGTATCTCACCCCCGTCCCCGTTTCTGCAACTAGTCCAAACACATCACCGTTCACTGGAGCTCCAGCTCAACATAAGAGCCAAACAGAAATTCAACAGGAGTCAACTGAGAGTTGATAAACAGTCAACCAGCTCAGTGTCCCAGTTTACAGAGAGTTAACCAGAACCCTCCTCAACCAGATGTTGACTGACAGAAGCTGGAAGTGGAATCTCTGTCACCTAAATGTGGGTTGAAAACAGATTCAGAGTCAGCCTGGAGCCGACCAGTGTCCAACCTCAGAGGCAAACTGGTCCTACTGGACTCTGTACTTGTAAAACCAGCAGAGACCCTGAGTGAAGTTCCATCCCAGAGAGACAGAGAGGACGTAGACGAGGGCAAGCGGAGCGAAGGGGTAGAGCAGCACCACAGTGTTCTTCAGGAAGGGTAGAGCTGTGTGGAACAGACCAATAGATCAGCACACTGACAGACAGCAGACACTGCCAACATTACAGACCTATAACTTCACAGTGAACAGTTCTTCTCCTTTAACAGGGTGTGCCACTGCATGGAAATAAACACTCCAACCAATAAAATGACCCAAACGCATTCACATGAATGGTCCCTCAACCCCTTTAAAGCCCCTACAAGGACCTTTCATTTTGTGCTGATTCTGGTGGCCTCTGTGGACAAAGATGGCACTGTTTCTACCGGCTTGTTTCATTGATTTTAAGGGGAATGCGACCTGGTGGCGGGCATTTAGAATAAATACAGGAATAGCCAATCGTCTCACTGATGGTATTGTTTGTTTATGTAGCTCATGGAGAGGCATCGGTGTTAAACTGAGACTTTTCATAACCGGTTTTAAACTCCTTGTAGTACATTTCATTTCAATCAACAGATTATTAGCCTGTGTGTAGAATCATCCACATCCTCAATTAATTGACATATTGTTTGGTATCTAAAAAACTGGCCTCTTACAATGATCATTTCACATAAGACTAGAAATAAGTAAATCATCACAAAAAAGAAGATGATTGATGATTTATTTAATTTTTTTTAATCAACTATAATCGACTAATTAACTGATCATTTCAGCTCTAAATAGATTTATGCACATATAATGAAAATGCAAATGTCTTCTTTCGAATCTTCCGGTTAAGGACCTCTGAAAGATAATCGATGTAATGTCAATAGAGTCAATTCTGTAAAGAAAACAACGTAACTCAATGTATTAAAACGTGAACGGGACTTACCGTTGTACCCTAAAAACGTGATGTAGAGATAATAACCGATGGCGATGAGCCACACAGTGTTCCCGACGAAGTATCCCAGGAACCAGTCGGAGTTTATTACCACAATATCTGAAACACACCGAACAAAGTGTGAGTGTGGTGATACAGAAGGCAGGTGTGATCCAAACAACATTTGTCTTTTCACAAGTCATGCATTTTGTTGTTTTATCAGGTGTACTATTTTCTGCAGTCTTCTCAGTAACCCTTCATCAGGCACACTGATGATATCTGCTGTGACGGTTTTTGCTGCCGTGACAGAAATTTCCATAATAGTCTAAAGCTGATGATCCACTTAATAATACACTCATATCAAAGAAGGTTAAATCCTCCAGATGATAACATTCAAAACAAAATGAAACACTTCAGTAATTTAAGTGATGTCGGTGTGACTAATACACTTTGGTTGCAGTCTCACGGTGTCTCTAAACTTACTGTATCAATGAACTAAGCGGCCCCACATTACACAATGAATCACAGGCTCCCCCTTGTGGATAAAACAATAACTGTCACAATATGACAAAAAAAAAAACATGAACATTGTGTGTGTACAGTCACTAAGGTTCAGGTTCCGTCTGTTGACAGAGGAGGGCTCATTTTTTCTGTCAACACATTTAGGTGTACTAGAGACCAGACTTGTAACTATACACTAATCTAGCAGTACATTTTTTCAGTCAGTAAAGGCTGCAGCCTTATAAGACCAAAGTCAAACTGCCATGTGTTGTTTCCCAAATGCTGGAAAAGAGTTGCTAAGATGATAAGCTCAGCCTACGTTCAAGGGGTACTGAAGTAGAGCCTGCTATGTAAAATCCCACAGTGAAGGCATTATGGCGCTGTTCTTTGGTTCAGTGTAAAATAGCGAAGTTGTATTGTTGTGGGATCTCTTTAAAAAGGGCTACTGTCTACTCACGGTTGATGAAGAAGAGCTGCAGGAAATGCAGGATGACCAGAAGGGGGTAGAAAGCGTTGAGGTGAACATCGAACGCATAGCCCCACTCCACATCAAAGCTTCTGCTGGGTTGTTTCAGCAGGTACTTGTTGCTGATAACCCTAAAACAGACAAGAAATAATGTTTCACATGAAGTAAAGTCTTACAGTTTTACTGCTGCACAGACAAAAAAAATCATCCTACTTACATTTTATTCATATGACCAACTAAGCAAACTTACTACTCACCACATAAGGGTTGATATAAGCAGACCAACTCCTATACAGTCAACAAAGACCACCCACAGCAGCAGCTTCAGAGTCTCCAAGACTCCCATGTCCAGCACCAGACCAAAGCCTATTGTTGACACTGCGGAGAATAAAGGGAGTGTTCAGTTATCATAGTGCCGTACAGTGGAAACACCAGGTTTCATCTGGCAACATTCAGACCAGCTGAAATGAACCACACTGCACTAGTGTCTATTTAAATTGAATCAAACAGGTAAAGCAGGCATAGAGTGCCACACAAAAAGAGAGATATGGACATGAGTAAATAGATGCTACCATCAAGACTGGACCACATGAGTAAAGTCTTACCACATAGCCAGATGCTGAGCAGGACCAGGAAAGCCGGGTCGTCCCTGGCCCACTGGTCCTTGGTCTGTTTTCTGTATTGGAAGTTGCGGTAGACTCTCTGTGGTGATGTGAACAAGTAAAGCATCTGCCACATGGCAAATTCAAAGTCCATCTGTCTGAAGTGGAACATCCGTCGCAGGTACTTGTAGCGCTTGGCGCCCGCCGTGTGACGTGCTGCATCCCTAGGGCCGAGGGCGCCGTTGCTGTGCGGCGAGGTGGTCGGCAACATGATGCTGGATATCAGAAGGAGGTAAGGACAAGCGGAGAAAGAATGGAAGATGAAAGAGAAGAAAGAGGTGAATTGCTGTACACATCCTGAGAGAATGCAGCACAACAATCAAATGCAAAAAAACAAACAATATTTTGGCCTCATCAGTCAACTTCTGTCACAACTCTTATTGTGAAATGTAATCTGTGTGTGCTTAGTAGAGTCAAGCTTCCAGACTAGAACTGGACATGTACTTTTACGTCTTTGAGATGACATGTGAACGTGATTTGAATCATTTGTTTGCATTTCTGAGAACTTCCTCTTGATACACTGTCGTCATTATGTTGTGGTCAGGAGGAGAGACAGCCTGATTTAGCATACCTTCTTCAGATAAACTTGATTTTGGTCTCTCACTTGCACTCTGCAGATGAAGAGCAATCTAATCTTCAGTCAGCCAGACAATATGTTTATATACTTTAAAAGGCTTTAATAGACTTTACCTGACACACATATAATGATCCTGGGCTATATGAATATAATAATAATAATAATAATAATGTACTGGCACAATAAAGGATTATGTACAGCTACTATGGTGCCAGTAGTATTTTATAAACCCAAAGTAGGGGGAGTAACATACAGGCATAATGCTTTTAAATCTCAGATTTCTATAATAAGCCCTTTTAAAGGAGTTATTCCTAACAGATCATCCTACAGCATGCTACCACCGATGAGTCGCAAACAACCAGCACAGAAACAGAAGGTGTTATTACAAACCTCAAACACATCAACATGATGCAACTGCATTAAAACATCCAGTAATAAGCAGTTCCCCACAGAGCACATTTATTTCACTGTAGTGTTAGTTGACGCTGTGTTTTGCTAGCAGGCACAGTTAGCTCGTTGCTAACTAGCTAACGTTACTTTACTAAGATGAGGCCCAGTCAGTCTGATTGTGACGCAGCGTATTACGTATTGTGACTGTTTGGTATTAGCTGAACATCTAAACTTGTTTATTCAGAAGAACATTCACCTGTTTTTGCTCCTCCGCAGGAGAAAGCACCAACTCCTGCTTTCCGTAGCTGAACGGAGACGCTTCCTGAACTGTCGCGAAAATGAACACGTATCTACTTCCGGTTGTATGGCCCTGTAGCCCCGCCCC